AGACTTGTGATCAGAGTCATGGAACGGATTAAGTTCGTAAGTAGAGGTACCACTGTATTTAGTAGCAACCTGCTTCATCTCGGAAGGGGAGGGGGCATTTACAAGAAGCAAGCCATCGAAGATCATAGTCATCAATGAAGTTTAATGTGAGGGTTGATACAGATAGAAACATTATGCTGGTGAAAGGCCGTAATGAAAATATTGTATTGATAGAAATAGGGAATCCTAACCAACAAAGGACTTAAAAGTCAATGTGATCATTTTGAACTAGGCTCAGAAACAAATGGGCAGCCTGCTTTAGCACAAATAGGACGACGTTTTAAAAAATGGGATAGTCACTCTCTCCCAGTCCAACCCACCTCAAAGGGTGGTTGTTGGGAGCAAATAGGAGGCTGGAGCATGATGTACGCTACCTTGAGTTATATAAAATAAAGGTGGGATATAATGATAATCACAACTATAATAATACAGTAATTGAATTTAAACTATAAAGATTACCACCCAGAGTTGCTAGTGTACTGTGAGATGGGCAGCCATATAAATGGATTAAAATAAATAATCACATGATGCACAAATTACAGGTAATTCCCTTAATACACAACATGTTGGATTCAGACGAATGTTCAAGTTTAACAGTTGTGGCTCTAACCTAGCATGTCTCAACTTCTAAGCGTTCAATGCTCTATAAGCAGTCTGGTAATAAATAAAGTATTCTGGATAAAATGGTTTCCGATGTTTCCTGGTGAGATGGAAAACAAAAATCTAATCATGAGATCTGTATGCACAAGAGGACAAATGTTTTACTCTTTATGGGGCTCTTAATATGACAGAAGCTCAAACGGCTATTTGCTGTGATGCATAATTACATTAGGAGGTGCTGTGAATCAGAAGGTTTGTTTACAGAATGCAGGGAAAGCAAATACTAAATATTTCAGGGCAACAGCCATTTTCCAGCACAATCCCTCTGTAAGTCAGTAGGTTATTGTGATGCAGTCAAGAGAGAGAAAATGGAAAGTAAGCATGTCCTTGGCTAATATGTATTTCAGAATCCATTGCTGAGAAAGCTGGAGTGGATTTAATCCAAGAGATCTGGATTCTTTACATTTTCTTAGCTCCAGGTGTTAGGCATTATCTCTTTATTTAAACCACCTCTCAAGGTTGCTGTGGAGATGAAAGTAGGGGAGAGTGGATGTTCCTTGGGGCTTTTGTAGGAAGGATGGGATAAAAACACATTTGTTAGTTGCATCAGATGGCAGTGCCCAATTGATCTTAGCTGACCTCAGAAAAAAAAGCCAAGCAAAGTTGGACCTGACATTAATACTTGAATGGGAGACCATCAGGAGATCTATGGTGGTAAATTAGACTGGGTAGTTAAATCAAACTTCCTGGAAGAGGCAGTGGCAAACTGCTTCCCTATTGTGGAAAAACAGCCACTTGTAAGAATATCCCAATATGTGTGTGATCATCAAGAGCTGAGCTTAACTCAAGCAAGGCGTTTACAGTATTCATTTCTACCTCCCTTACTAGTGGTAAACACTTCCTTCCACCTGTAATGTGTTGAATTTATTTATTTTGCATTGTTTTGTCATTCCATAGATTCAGAGTGCTTCTAGACAAGGTTTTTTTCACTTAGTCATCCTACTTTGTTCATGAAGGTCTCTTTCTCACAGCCCTGCTAACATGCTTTCGAACCTGCCATCCTTGAGTTGGCAGAATAGTTTGCCAGTATTTTGTGTTCTGAATATGATACACTTTTTTCAGAAATCAAGTTTATTTATCCGCAGAAGCAGTTAAGGCATCATAGTCAAAAACTGTCAGCCTAAGTAGTTGATCTGAAAGAGATAAACAAGGTCAAGCTTGGTTAGTACTGGATAGAGTCAATCAGGACATGCCAGTCCACCATAGCATGCCTGTAGGGTAGACTGGGAAATATATATGTGTTTGTATATGTATATGTGTGGGTGTGTATATATCTCCCAGAAGAAAGTAATGGCAAACTCCTTACTAATGTTGGCCCAGCCCAAAGCTGGGTGATTGATCTCACCTGGTGCGAATAGCCAAAGATCACATAAAGGTGGATGGGAACATATTTAAAACTTTATTTCTGTACAGAAGTGAAGAATTCACGCTTGGGACTAAAGTCACAAAGCAAGCGTCCCCAGTGTCCCCGTATGTCAAGCTTATATACCTTATAGATCTCATCAGATTATATTAGCAGTTTTTAACTGGTTCAGATCTTTTTAACTGGTTCAGATCTGCTCTGTCTCCGGGCAGATTTTCTTCCTTCCTCATGGGGGCGCCTTTGTGGCTTTGCTAAACTTTACTTGACCTTTTGCACTTATTCAGGAGGAAAGTCTCTATCTGGTTCTAGCAGCTTCTTTTCGGGTGGTGCCATCAGTATGATGACTGCATCAGGGTGGCTGGTGCTGAGGAAGGCTCAGCTCCACTGAGTCTTTTTTCCTGCCCTTTCACCCCTGGAGCAAATAAATAGCTTCAACATAGCCTATCCTCCATGTCAGGGGGACCTCTTAAAGGCCCAAGAGCTGGTCTTCTGTCAGGAGTTTACACTCTTTCATGCAGTTTCTGTTTCCTTCAGAAATATGTACCGCTGCTAAAGCCCATTATCAGAACTTAGTTGGAAAGCTTTCTTTTAGATGGAATTTTTGCTTGCACACCCAAGAAATGGAAAGGCTGATTTTCCATTTTCTGGGGAAGAAAAGTGAGCACTCTCTACACAGTATGCTTAATAGCCCTCTTTTGTGATTACTTCACTAATGATGAAAGCGAGCATCTTTTACGTGCTTAGTAGCACCTATTTAAATTTTTCAGGTCCTGTACTGAAAATTAGAACCCAGTTCAGACAAGCTCTGTTTTGTATTAAGACTTGTGTTTAATTTTTGTTCTGCAGAGCCTCATTTAACCTCACATCTTCAGCACAAGCCGTATTATTAGATTTAGTGTACAGGTATGGTTTATGATATATCTCATCAGCACAGGGTAGGAGACAAAAAGCATTTCCTTATTATTCCTGGGATGACTGAGATGTAATTGGTCTGTTCTGCCCTCCCTAATGGCTGTTGCCAGTCATTACTGAGGGATAAAACAGGCAGGGCTAACGAGGACGGTCTGGATCTGAGGAGAGAGATGAAAACGATACCGCTTCCAAACTACCCAGCATTGGGAAGCAGGTGATCGGGCAGGTCTTCTCTCCTGTTTGATATTTATCAAACTCTTGGCTCAGCTGGCTACGTGCAGGGTGGATTGAGAAAGTGGAAAGAGGTGGCAGGCAAACTGCTTTATGTCTTTTCTCTTTATTATGAGGTTTATTGCTGCATTCAGTTTAC